TTCAACTGTCCCTGGTTTCTCAGCGCTGTGCCAAGTTTGAAGATTTCTTCACCCACAGGTGGACAGTCCTTTCCATACCCAGTCGTTAGGGCGCTGTCATAGCATGATTTTGCCTCGTTCAACTGTCCCTGGTTTCTCAGCGCTGTGCCAAGTTTGAAGATTTCTTCACCCACAGGTGGACAGTCCTTTCCATACCCAGTCGTTAGGGCGCTGTCATAGCATGATTTTGCCTCGTTCAACTGTCCCTGGTTTCTCAGCGCTGTGCCAAGTTTGAAGATTTCTTCACCCACAGATGGACAGTCCTTTCCATACCCAGTCGCAAGCGCTTTGTCATACCATGATTTTGCTCCGTTCAACTGTCCCTGGTATCGCAGCGCTGTGCCAAGTTGGAAGATTTCTTCACCCACAGATGGACAGTCCTTACCATAACCAGTCGTTAGGGCGTTTTCATAGCATGATTTCGCGTCGTTTAACTGTCCCTGGTTTCTCACCGATGTTCCAAGTTTGAAGATAGCTTCACCCACAGATGGACAGTCCTTACCATACCCAGTCGTTCGTGCGTTGTCATAGCATGATTTTGCGTCGTTCAACTGTCCCTGGTGATGCAGCGCTGTGCCAAGCTCGAAGATTGATCTACCTGGAAGTGGACAGTCCTTTCCATACCCAGTCGTTAGCGCGTTGTCATAGCATGATTTTGCTTCGTTCAACTGTCCCTGGTGTCGCAGCAATGTGCCAAGATGGAAGATTTCTTCACCCACAGATGGACAGTCCTTTCCATACCCAGTCGCAAACGCTTTGTCATACCATGATTTTGCTTTATTCAACTTTCCGTGGCGACGCAGCACTGTGCCAAGATTGAAGATTTCTTTAACCACTAATGGACAGTCTTTACCATATCCAGTGGTTAGGGCTTTGTTATACAATGATTTTGCTTCATGTGGCTGTCTCTGTACATGAAATGCTGTGCTAATCTTATCTAATGAAGTATACGGAAGATGGTCCCCTGCGGCCAATGCGATTTCGTAACATCTTAGAGCTTCAGAATACATTTCTTCTTCATAACAGCTATCTCCAAGGTCTAATAGTGATTCAGTGATGCATGGGTAGTCTTTGCTATTGCCTATAGCTAAAGCATCTTCATAGCACATTCTTGCTTCAGTATATTCATGTAAATCACGAAGAACTTCAGCAATATCTAAAAGAATTTGAAATACCATCGGATCGGTTTTAGCATAAACTATTTTGAAAATGTCCATGGCTTTCTTAAAATGGATCTTTGCTTCTGAAAAGAATCTTTGCTTTCTTAATGATTTACCAAGATTGCGTTGCAACTCTCCCACCGCTGGGTGATGCCCTTCCCGGAAACTTTCATTAATTACAAGGGATTTGTTAAAACACGTTGCTGCTTCTTTATAATTCTTAAGTGCAAACAGCGTTTTACCTAAGTTACTGAGTGTTGATCCCACCATCGGATGGTCTTCAGTATAAATAGACTTATATATAGAAAGTGCTTCTTCGTGGTAAGATTTTGCCTCATCATATTTCTCCAAACGAAAAGCACAGCGTCCAAGCTGATTTAAAGTGTGTGCCACTTTGGGATGGTTTCTGTCGTGGTAGACTGATTCATACCTTTTCAATGCCTTTTTGAAATGCGTTATAGCTCCCTTTACACATTTTGCACTGTAGCGATCTTCACTGTGGGCTGCCAAGGAGTACAGTGACTTTCCTAGTCCGTAGTATGAGCTTGCCTTAATGTAAACATTAGCATTTAGGCCTCGCCCCTCATTGTAAAAGAGGCCATGTCCTTCATTGTAAAAGCAGGTACTTTTCCGCGACGATAAAGCAAATTTTCTTATCTTTTCGTTGATGAAAAGACAATATTGACCATATTGTTGTACATCCTTCTTAACCTGCATTTCTTTTGATATTTCTACAAGATTGTCTAAAATAGCAGCTTTTAACTTAAGCCATAATAGGTTAAACGCATATTCTAATTCACAAATTTCAAGTGCACCTTTGAGGCAATCTCTTACTTTATAGAATTCCCCTAAGTTGGAGCAATGTACTTCACAAATATCACGTACAGATTTGAGGCAACTTCTTGCTTCATAGAATTCCCCTAAGTTGGAGCATTCTAATTCACAAATATTAAGTGCAACTTTGTGGCAATCTCTTGCTTCAGAGAATTCCCCTAAGTTGGAGAGAGCTATACCAAGGCTGGATAGCGTTTCAGCTATGTTTCTTTTTTCAGTTTCGTTGAGAGATTCATGATGACAACTGAGCAGCGTCAAGTCTGGTTGGTCACAGGAAACGTTTTTGTTCTTGAAGATGGACATTGCCTTTTCCAAAATCATGTCAAGCCCTTTTCTAACATCATTAAACTTCACGATATCTGATTCCACAAATAAGTTCTCCATTTCCTTTACAAAAAATGGAAGTTGCATTGACAATGATAGTTGAAAAAACATTTTCGCAGTTTTAAACTTGCCATGAACACTACAAATGCTACCAATGGTGTTAAGGATTTTTATAAAAGTTTCCCCATGTTCGTTTAGATATGATTGACACTTGGATTGCTGTTGTACGATATACAATGGTAGAAGTCTTGAAAAGCGTTCGAAATGATTAAGAAAGCCTCTTGATTTTACTATATCTTTGACAGCATTTTTATTAAAGAATTTCAGCACATATGAAAAAGTTTCTGTAGCACTAAATATATCCACGTTCTTGCCTTTCACTTGATCATGGTCCTGAAGACAATGATATACAATTTGATGAGTGAGGAGTTCACCTCCATCATCAGAAGTCATCAATAAGGAAGATGAGGCAACAGTTGATTCCACTACTTCTTCATCTTCCTGAGGCAAGCATTTCATCACGTACTCCACCACATTTTTCATCGGGATAGGATCGTTAGCCAAGACAGACAGGAATTCAAACGCATGAAACATGACTTTACTTCCACTAGTTTCTCGTTCTAATGCCATTTGTACCGCCAGGGTCATCGACATTGGATAGTTCAGACTGCTCTCTTGAAACATTTTTTCAGTGGCTTCACGTTTTCCTTGATCTAATTTCTCAAGGAACTGTTGCCATGTAGTGGACGTGGCTTTCTTCATATAAACTCCGGCGCAAGCAAGTGCCAGTGGCTGAAGATCCAAACTCTTCGCGACTTCGAGCATCCTTTCGTCATCTTCCCTTATGCCTGATACGTTAGAAAGAACTTCAATGGCATCTCCTTCGCTCATTCCTCTTTTTAGGGAAACGTGCTGGGTGTGAAAATTATCTGGAATACAATGTTCATCTTGGGTAGTGACAAGGATCTGACCGACTCCACTCGTCTTTTCGCCAAATTGTGGCCAGAATTTAGAGTATGTTTTAAGATTCGTTACATTGTCTACGATCATTAACCAGGAGGCATATTTGTCGACCTGTTTGGCGGTAAGAGCTTTAAGTTGCAGTATCTGCTTTTCTTGGGAGAGGTCTTTCGACGTCGTAATTTCGGTTATCGAATCTGGATAACAGTTTAACCTCGCTGCAAAGTCGATATAGGACTGGAGCAATGTATCCATGGTCGCCGCATTGATTGTCATGACGAAAGCTGGTTGTACAGTATCATCAGAATCAAAATACTCATCTCCAATCTGCCCAGCAAGTACACTCTTACCGCATCCTGGATTACCTGAAAGATAAACTGTCTTTGTTTCTCCCATCTTTCGATTGGACAGTTCTTTCATCTTCTTGGAAATATCTTGGACTTCGTGCTCTCTTGTGATCTGGTCATGGAAGGACTTCGGTGGTAAGACACAAAAAGGAATTGGCTCTGTATTTCGTTTCTTTTCATCTTCCAATTCTTTTTTGATGATATTCAGTTCTCTTGTTGGAAAGCTTTTTTGCCTTTTCAGCTCCAGTAAATAAATTGTATCGAGTTTTAGCGTTTTAAATGCAATCATAATTTTTTGAACAAATGTTTGGAAATCTGCATCTTTCAACCTTCCTTTAGTATTATGGGCAACTTCATTCCGGCTCTCGCGTAAGATATTCACACTGTTCTTGACATTAGGCTGTAATCTTGGTCCAACGCTGTCCGAGAACAGAATGGCATACGATAAACAAGTGCTGTCCCAGTTTGTTCGGTCACCATTTTTCATTATCCCCAGAAGGCGCTTGTTCTTTTTGCGATTCCTCGGAGACTCCATGCTTTGAAAGGACGCAAAATTGGCCGGCGTGTCCATCCATGGTCCGTGTGTGGTTGTGTAGTGAGTATCCCATTGCTGCTTGAAAATCTCTCTCAAACCTTCTGGGATAACACTAGTGATAATTTTACACAGTCTGAAATAGTTGAGTTCTTCGTCGCTATATGTTGGCATCTTCCTGCAATTCGTAGACGAGATTGTAAATACTATACTTATAATTCATTGGATGTTTCCAGGTAAACCGGTTTCTTGACGTCGAGCTGTGGTCCTTTTTGGACACGAAAGTTTTCGAAGGACACAGTGCAGTCTTTTAATTATTYCGTCAATTCATGGCCTTTCCGGAACTTAAAAAAGAGACTAGGAACGAGTATGAAACTAAATGATCCACTTACCAAAAACTAATCCTCACCACATGAAAAAATAATAATWTTTTATACTCCAATTAGTGCTATTTTCGAACTTCTTTGATTTAAAACTCACTAGAATTTTTTTCAATTTAATTCAGTAACAAGATACACAAGACAGAAAATATGGCTGTGGACGTTTCTCTAAAWCTTCATAAATTCTTTAGTATTCTCCGTACATCAAACTTCATCGAAATTTTTCACTAGTCCATATTTTTAAATTTCGTAAAGGCCTATTAATAATCACAATTTTACTATTTTAAAATCATGCGGTAATTCAATTTGGATTATGTGTAGACTTTTTTACCGAATGTTGTTGRACGTGAACGTCGTTTGAATTCATCTTCGACGTAATTCCAGTTGTGATATGCCAAGCCTCCATTGATACTCTTCTGAAAGGAATGGTGTTTTCATATATCAATGACATGCTTAGCGATTGTGTGATCAAAATCACATCGAATTGACAAGCTAGAAATCATCCCACATTTCAGTGTGACGGAGACGATAATGAGAGCGTTCATCATTGCAAAGAAGACAGCTGTAGGGACATTCAGTTGTCCCTACTAGGAATCAAAGGTTTCCTTTGCCTTCCGTTCCTCATGAATAACATGAGGGACGATTAGTCTAATCGTCCCTCATGTTATTATGCATGAGGGGTGATTACTAGTAATCTTCCTTCATGCTATTCATGAGGGAGGGATGTTCGCATCCCTCCCTCGGAAGACAAAAGAATCCGAGGTGATCATGGTATTATACAACTTATAAACTGAGGCGTTACGATAGCCACGCCCTTTTTTTATATAGTCTAAGGCACAACTTTTTTGGGTCCGAGTTTTAAAGACTTTTTGCGATATATTTGTTCGAGTCGCTTATCCTTTATAAAACATTTGTTTGCTGGCATTTTGTATTATATCTGTGAACATTGCTGGCGTACTCAAACTTGTTAAATATTTTTGGTAATGCCCCACAATTCCAGTACATGCGTAAATTCAAAAATATACAGGCGATATATTGTCAACATTTTTAAGATCTTCAAAATATTTAGCAAAGGTTTGCACTTTCTGTTTCTTTTGATCCGTAAGAATTAGCAAAGAAGATCAATCTGATAACATGATTTTGTTTAGTCTGAATTTTTCGAAGATGCGTTTTGTAAGTGCTACCTCATGCTATCATTGCATATGAGAGGTAAGGATAAATGTTATTTGTTCTCGTTCCTGGCTCGAGGGTGCGTCCTTGAGCATAAATATGTTTTTTTCTTTTTTCATTTTGTCAGAAATGCCAGACATTGTATCTGAGCACAGCACAGCTGAATGAATCATGAATGCTGATTTGCCTTTTTTATGAATGAATCCTGATTTTCTTTTTTTACGACGACCAATTAAAATATGGATTTGACAGAATAATTACATTACATTTGCCGAGTAACATTGAAGGGAAAGTAATAGACGTGGGTGTTCTCACAAAAAAAGCAGTGGACTTCAGTCAGTTCAGTGATCCATAAAAGTGCCACTCAAATCCTTCAGCATATGAATATGTATAAGGTTATGCAATTATTATTTATACGCTTCGTAGCATTGATGGAACTTGAAAAATATTTGATATCATTGAAAACATGCATTTTCTAGTTGTAAATATTTTGAATTATTGCATAAAGAATACACGAGTCTACGTGTATAGAATACATGTTTGCAAGTTTTTGCAATTACTCGATATAAGATTAATATCATTAGGTAATAATCAGACATCAATATCAGCCTCGCATGCTGAGCTGTCTTCATTGGTGACCATAAATCTTAAAATTGCTTTGTGGACTAAGTCGATTCTTTTTGGAAAACTAGACTTATTACCAGCTAACGTGAACTTTTGTGACTTTTCTTTCATAATTAAATGTGTGTCACATTRATTTTGAACTGAAGTGCATACTTGTTATTAATATAATACGTTTATCTCAAACGATTTATTGCATACAAAGTACTTGTCTGATAATTATTATTTTAAACGGCTTATTTCATATGTATAGAGTCCAAGTTTCTGCTTATGTTTTAGTTTGTATCGCTAAGCTGGTATCACTTCATATAGACATCTCTAATAAAACTGGAATGACTTACTTTATATTACTAATCTTTAATAAGAGCAAGGGAGCTTTTTGTAGACCGTGACGTTCATCGTGGCGGTGAAAACCAATTAACGCTCACTCATACACATTGGCGTTCAAGACTTACTAATAAACCGTTATGGATTTCAAATGCTTTGACCAAATTCTGCAATTAAAACAACACGCATTTATCATTTTTGAAGCGGCATTTCCCAAACACAGTTTTATTATTTCGATTTAATACTCACCAGTGATTTTACATTTTGAAGTCAAAACCAATGTCCATATTCACACTGGCGTACATGATGATTAGCGTTGAATATTGATTCTAGTCGGAAATAATCATACCATTAACTCATATTCAAACATTTGTGCTGACTTTGCTAAACGGCTAAACTTTCAGTTCTCTCTGTACAACTCACCCTTTTTGTTACTCAAGCTAGGTTGCGGTTCATCCCACTGGTATATATCAACTTTTAAAAGCTGTTCTTTTATGCGTAGTGTAACAAAAAAAACCTTCAAAATAAGCGATGAAATAAGCCTGAAACACCAATACTCTCGAAACTTGCAAGTAAGCACATACCTCCTCTGGTTGAGTGCCGAACTGTGAAGGGTGTGAACAATGTCGTCTGATAAATATCATAACAGCCGTAATCCGGTTTCTGGCCTGTTTATTTCATTCGTAGAATAGCCACATACCGGTTTGAAACTAGTTCATGGGAAGTAGGAATGACAAATAAACAAAAATAATAGAACATTTAATAACACTTAAACCCACCATGGTTCCAGATGTTTCTTTGTGTTTCTCTCTTCTCTGTATAAAAATCGCTGCTTCGCATGCTCGATGAAGAGATATTTTTACACAGGAAAGAGAGACACAGAAGACTCTGGAACCAGGATAAAACAAACGCGCAATATCATGCGCATGACCTGATGCGTAAATGCAATACTACACTGATTATAGTAGAATGAATCTGTAAAGTTTTCCTTTTCGGGCCTTTGGCTTACAAGATACATAATCAAAATGTATAAGAATTATAAAAATAATTAGAACTGTACTTTTTTTGAAGCATTTAATCCTCGCATTCTTTAGGCACAGCATAAACGAGAATGTCTACATTTGTATAGATGGGTGACGTTTTTTATACTATATTCTGAATTTCATTTCAATGAAGTTAGCATCTCCTCTGAAGGATAAGACAAAATCTAGTATATTTTTGAAGAACTGGCCGAAAAGTCGACACTGGCATTTACAGAATCATTAATTTAGAAAGTGAAAAGGGYAAAGCTAGAGTCTTTTGAATTAAAAAAACTGTACCCTAATCTATACCCTTCAATTTCTCAAGACTGTCAACGCAGTAATAAGCTTCAAAATGAAAAATCCTGACTTTCTTCCTAAATTTCTGGTATTTAAAAGTTTGTCAAACTGAGTAGAAAAGGCTTTAAACTTTGTAGCAAATTGCAATTCTCGATTAGATTGAAGTCAAATAGATATTACACTAATACACATTAGTACGTTGTTATCAAGTGTGTCTGTTTGACTTTCACGTTTTTAATTTCTGAAATTTTGGTAATGATATTCAAATAATTATAACTGAAATAGAMGAAATCAGCAACTCATGAAAAAAGTGTATTTTTGATATTTAGTTCTGAAAGCGTTCAATTCTCTTTGTAGAAGATGGAGGACAACACTCTTAAAATAGCAGTGTTCTTATAACCTTGTCACATTGCAATGAAGACMTTAATGTTCTCAGTATAATTACGATAATTGTTAGTTATTGAACGCTGGTTCTCGTTGTCTGCAGCAACATTATTTCCGCCTCTATGTCATTCAAGGTAAGTTTGTGCGGCTGCGTGCAGGACAACAGTCTGCGAATTCTCCCTAAACATGACAAGGTAGGTTTTCCTTTCGTGAAGCATTTCCGTGCCGCG